AATTTGTCTGCAGTTTTTGTACTTTCAAATTAAAGTTCATCTGGTTATTACCTTTTTCGTCATAGGAAACATAGATTCCTAGTAATTTTGTGGGAGTATTCATCCATTTCATTCTTAGTGGTTTGGTTCTATTATTCAACCATTTCCCTAACCAGGATGCTTTTGTTTTCTCTACGTTGAGCACTAATCCAGAGAAATTCCCAAAAGCGCTCATAGTTTTCAGGGCTTGTTCAGCAGAAGCCACATCAGCACACAATAAGTTGGTATCGTCTGCAAATTGGCTTAGTTTGATCTCTGAGCCAAAAATTCTGATTCCTTTTATGATTGTGATTCCTATATATTATCATTGATCAGATCAGCCTCTGCCTGTCCCATTTTAAACCTGCGAAGACAATTTTTTTAAAGTTTTATTCTGGCTCTTTCTTTTAGTATATGCCTCTGAATCTATGAAGAGAAAGTCGCTTGCTGCAATACAGTTTACATATGTGTTATATATGTCAAACTTGGCTATGAGGAAGAGAATCATTCCAATAATTAGTTCCGTCTAAAATTTAATATTATAAGAAAAATGTTTTCTGCCAACTGTGAGTCTACTTTTCGTTTTGACAAGGGAACAATCTTTTACCAAACTGGCTTGAAAAAGGCATGAACGCAGATGTTGTTAAACGTTGCCGTTCATGTTTCCGAGCATGGCTGACGGTGGTTACGTATTTATTAAACCCAAATTTAGAAATTTAACAATATTTATACCTTGAAACGCGGCTTCCCGTACTGTGATTAAGATCTGAATGAAGATGCAGGAATTAACTCGCAGTATACACTTCTTCTTGCTCTTTCAGTATTATGTCTTAGAAATCTATAGCGCATGCGCACTGAGCCCACATCGCCGCCCACAAACACCTGTGAACTCTAGAATTCAGGTATCATGGTAGGTGGATTGACAGTGATTGGAAATCGCGCTGTTACGCTGGCGCTTTGAAAGAAAACCCCATCAACCTATACATTTTCTGCAAGCTTAATAGTTATAGAATACAATCATACCTTTGAAATTGTCTAAAAAGTCATTGTCGCAGTGATATTAAAAGAGATACCCAGCAACTCTGCTTCGCTTAAACTGGTTTGCTTCCGCGCGTAAATTATCGGAGCAGCACGATTAACATCGGAAATGTTTTCTCACACATCACCCTCAAGGGGTCGGCGATTTTCCAGATGTGGTTTGGTTTTTTTTCTACAGCCTCCTAAAGTTTGATATTTTCAATGCGGACGTTTCCTTCTACTAAAGAGACCATCACTTTGAAACGGAAGCGAAATTAAACAAAGCCCGACACCCTTTTTCGAAAGGGGTATCTTGGAACATACCTGCCGATTTTCAGCCAATTCCGTCGGAAGACGCGCGTAAACGAACTAAAAATGTTCATCCTTATATGCAGTTTTATTTTATCGAGAAAAAGACGAAAACCATTTTATAAGATTGGTATGATTAGGTGTTAAAAATCCCCTCCGCACCGACAAATGTCGGCATGATACAGTATAGCACAACAATGGGTTATGACAACTTGAAATAAACAGACGTCTACAATTCTGGCGCGGAAACCCGTCGCAGGGAAATCGTCCGAGAGGCGACAAACTGCCAAGTTAAACTGCCGTGATTTCTTTTACTTAGAAGATTTCGTCGGCGGCATTGGTATTATGTTGCTTAAGTTTAGGCTTCTTGGTTTTCCAGACATTTTTTGAAACCATGCCCCGCGAAGCCAAAAACAGGAAATCTCGACGTCTACATCGTCTACACCTACATCTGCGCTTGACTCTCTAGTTGTGGAAGTTTTGGAATCGCGTCCGTTCTCCAGCAATTACGTGCGACTAGCACTTGTTGTAGTTTGTCCTTCAACTTCATTGGCGGGACTAGTGTCCTCGAGTTCCTTCAACCATTCTTCTTGGTTACAGAGCGCCCCACGGTCGCTCAGAGCCAAAGATCGTTTTCGACGCTGAACCTGTGGGTTCCACCAGATTTTTGCCTCTTCGGCTTCTTCAAGGACGAAAATGGGCAAGACGTTTTCTTGCGTTTTCGTCCTGACATGAAGAAAATTTGACAAGAACGAAAGCTAACTTGCGATGAAACAACCAGATCCCGTCTGATCGAGAACAGTTCCGTCCACAAATAAAATATCACACCGCAATTCGCATAATCCATGTGACAACTGGCGGTGAATTTTAACCAGAGGTGTCAACGCGCCGTAAGGGGTTAATGAGATTCGAAAATAGTTTTTTTTATTTATCTTAAAAAATAAAAAAAGCTTTTTATCCCATTCTTTCTTGCAAAATAGTTGTCTCAGTCTTCTCAATTTTAACAGCCAAAAAACGATTTTTCGCATTTTTTTATAAAAATCCACCTACCATGATACCTTCATTTATCAAAGCCATTTTGACTCAGTTGTCAGTTTGAACCTGGCTATCTTTAAAACGGGGAACGGGGAATCGGGGAATCGGGGAAT